CAGTTAGTTCGGATGTTAAGACAGAGAAAGCATGGTTCAAGCGTCTGCCCTCCATGTGATCTTCAATTACAAATGCCATTCCGACATAATCTTTTGACTTTGAACCATCTGTATAAACTGGAAGATAACTGCTATATTTGTGCCTGTGCTCAGCGAAGAGTTGTCTATAAATGATGTCATTGGTGCTTGGCTTGACCTGATGCTTGAAAACATTAAGAAGCTGAATCCGTACATTTTCCCAAGGTGGGATTTCAAAATTCTGTACTGCTTGGGGGCGCATATCAGAGAGGGAAAGTTCCTCAATGGCAGGGCAAACTCTTAAGAGAAAGGGAGGAACACAGGATGGACGTGTTTCAAATAATGTGTTACACTCATTATCAAGTAAGCACAGCTTATTGGGATGTTCAGGTTGGGATATTAAAATATTGCAAAAGGAACTATTGCTCACGCCTCAGATAAAGTGATGGTTCGTTAGAGTCAACATATAGGCTCTGTACAGGAGAAGTCCTGAAAGGTCCTGAACAAATCCGCAAACCTTGATGGTGAACAGGGTCCAGTTTTAACAAAACAGATCACCGAGCGGATCCGTAAACAACTGAGCCATAGTCCAGTCTAGAGCGAACCAGGGCTCTGTAAATGCGAAGCATGGAGCAACGCTCTGCACCCCAGGAGGTGCTCGCCAACACTTTTAAGATATTTAGTGTTTTTAGACACTTCTTTCTCAGGTTTAAAACATGAGGAAGAAAAGTCAATTTCTGGTCGAACGTCACTCCTAAAAATTTTACTTCGGGCGCAACTGGAATAATTGAACCATTGAGATATAACTCAGGTTCAGGATGGAGACCTCGCTTCCTACAAAAGTGCACGCACACAGTTTTCTGTTTCGAAAATGTAAATCCCTGTTTGTTTGACCATTCTTCGATCTTATTGAAAGCCATCTGCAGTTGCCTCTCTACGTATCTCATGTCTGCACCTCGACAGCTAATCTGCAGATCATCAACATATAGAGATCCCAAGATGGTGGGAGGAAGTTCTTTCAATACAGAGTTTATTTTTAGGCTGAACAGCGTTACACTAAGCACACAGCCTTGAGGCACACCCTCTTCCTGTTCAAAAACATTCGATAAAACAGAGCCAATCCTTACTTGAAAAGTTTTACTGTTCAAGAAATTCTGAATGAAAATTGGTAGGTTGCCGCGCAAGCCACTCTCTAAAAGATCCCGAAGTATACCGTATCTCCATGCCTTATCATAGGCTTTCTCAATATCAAAGAATACCGAGACTAGGTGACTTCTTAAAAAAGCTTTTCGAATGGATGTCTCTAAGAGGAGCATATTATCTACGGTAGTCCTCCCCTTTCGAAAGCCACTTTGATAAGGCGATATAATATTATTCTTTTCCAAGAAGTAGACTAGGCGGCTGTTTACCATTTTTTCAAACAGTTTGCATAGGCAACTCGTAAGGGCAATTGGCCGATAGTTGGAGGGATTCCTTGGATCTTTCCCTGGCTTGGCAATAGGAATTGCAACAGCTCTCTTCCATGCACTGGGAAAAGTATGCTCCTTCCACACTCTATTGTAAAGCGTGAGAAGGGCATTCAGTGACTTATAGGACAGATGCTTTAGCATATCGTAATTCACGCCATCGAGACCCGGAGACGACCTATGTGTCTGTAACAAAGTTCTCTTTATCTCTAGCACAGTAATATCTTTATTATAAGGCTCAAATTTGGAAGAGTTGAAAGCGATGGGATTTTTCTCAGAGCGTTGCTTGATAGAAAGAAATGCAGGTGAATAATTTCGGCTGGAAGAAACGGCAGCAAATGTCTCTCCAATAGTATTTGCAATTTCTTCTATGGAGCTAATCACTCGGCCATCTTTTTCCAAAAAAGAAAGTGAGTGGTCTTTATATATGCCGCATGCTTTTCGATCTCTTTCCCAAACCCGCTTACTAGGCGTGGAGGATGTTATTGACGACACATAGGAAATCCAGGAATCCCTCTGGCTCTGCCTTCTTACTTTTCGTGCATTTGCTTTGGCTCTTTTAAAGGCTATGAGGTTTCGCAGAGTCGGATATCTACGAAAAATACCCCATGCTTTTTTCTGTTTTTTCAGTGCTTCATGACAGTCGCGATTCCACCACGGTTTCG